GTTCAGTTTTTGAAGTCTAAAAAAAATTCCACATTGCACAATCGTCGTAGCATTGCCTTAGAGGTATATATCACAATTGTTGATTATTACGAGTAGAGCCGTTCACCGCATAGCATTCATTACATTCAATTGCGGAATAATTCACGGAGATAAATATTTTCGAAGTTACATGCATCTTCTCGCGGAGCGTCGCGCGATGTAATTACTTAGAGAGAGAAATAGCTTTCCTTTGGGAAGGAACTTATTCGTAACTTGGGTCGAGCAAGAATATGTAAACCGACTAGAGTGTCGTTTTTGTCCATCTGAGTACTGCTAACTGCCGAATTCATTTTCGGAATACGAACGCGAGTTAAACAATGACACGACTTGGGCGCAAAACGCGTCAAACAAAATTATTCATATTGTGCAGATAACGTTTCTATTCTTTGAATCAATACAAATTTACTGATGCACTGATAAGGAAATTCTAAATTCATGCATTTATTTGATATCTAATTTAAAATCTTTTGAGAAAACAATTGGTGATGGCGACGCGAAATGCACAAAACCCTCGGCACGAAGATTCTTTAAGTATCTGTTTTTGATGCTCGGGCATTAAAACAATCCCGGGAACGAAGTTGCATCCGTTAGTGGAAGAATCGGAATCGGCACGAAGAAATGAGATTTAATTCCGGTCCGTTTCACGGGCGCTGATCTTTTTCAAGTATTTTCACAAGGACGCGCTCATTTAGCGGCGATGCGAAAGCAAATGCAATATTAGCGCAAAGGTAGGAATATTATAACTTCAAATTCCTTTTCTGCGAGCATTTCATTTTACACTGCTCAACAGAAAAAAATTAAATAAGGGAGCGATAATGCAATTATAATTACCTTACATTAGAGATTCAAATCAATTACGTTACAAATTCTGGTGTAATTATCAAACACATATTTTAAGCCTTAGATAAATTTAAAATGTGAACTTGATAATTAATCTAGAATTTGAAATGTGATTGATTCGAATCTGTAATGTGAAGTAATTATAATTGTGTTATTGTTTTTCTTTCATTTAATTTTTCGCAATGTAAAATAAAGAAGTGTAAAATCTCTTATATTTATAAACATTATAAAATAAAAACAAGTAATAAGGGTGATATATAACTTTTGCGCATACACAATTTAAAAAACTAAAACTTTAATTTATTTAAAAATATATTCATGTGCTGTGTAATTAGTCCGTGCAGTACAAGCTATTAATTTGTATTTTATTAGAAAAAATAATTTTTAAAAAGTAAAGCGCTCTCTAAATATCCTTATAGCAACTTCCATTAGACTAATATTTTCTTAATAAAAAGTAAGATATTTTTATCGCATATGGAAGAGAGACACAACAATTAATAATTGTCAAATTAATTCAATATGGCACGTTGTTCATTTTCGATTTATTCGATAAAGTGACGCATTCGAACGTACGTGTTGACGCGGCAAACAGACATCACTCCATCGCGATAAATTCACTACTATGTTGCGACTGACAAGCGAGTGAGAACGTTTATTTTCAACTAACAGAGCGGCAAAGCGCGTATTGTTCGTCACAGTAGAAGATATTAATAGTCGGCCATTTAGTTACAATCGTATTTTGCGCGAATTGAAATTATCTGCGGCATCAAATTTAGAGCATGAACAAGCATATGTGTTTAAAATAGGCAAATTATTGAAAACAGATCAGAATTATCACATTTTGTCGAATCAATAGATAATAATAATAATTTTCAAACAACATTATTATGTCAACAAGTATTATGTTAATTATTTCAAACATAAAGAAACATAATTGTTCTAAGTATGTAAAGATTAAATATTTTTTAAATTGCACCACGGAACTGGCATTTTTACGGTTAATATATTTTTCCAATATTTATAATTAAATCTTCTCGTGATTCATCCCCGCGGGTAAAAAATCAAAATAATAATTTTTTATTTGCGCGAAAATCAAATGCGTTTAACAAGCTTCAAATTACCAATAGATTTCGACAAGCAATTGTCGTTGATAGCGCATTTTCAGAGAGTACATAGAAATAATAAATTTATTGAATCAAAATCGCGTTTGACGCAAAAATTGTATACAGGAAATACTTTCTCGTTGTGAGCATATAACAGTTACGCTTTTTAAAGGGCAATAACTGTTCAATTTAATAGATATTTGTAATATCAACAATAATGGACAATAATGAATTTTTTCTATATTACATCATTTTCAAATCAATTTAATCTATAAAGATATAATTTGTGAAAAATTTATATTTTTACAATTTTTCTAAATAAGTAAGTAAAAATAGTATATTGTATATATAATATAATTTATATTACAGTATATATTTTATATATATTGTATAGGATATATATATATATATATACATATATGTATATGTATATACATAAATTATTTAGTAAAAAAAGAATGGAATTTATTTACTTCAGCTTTAAAATTAGTTAAGAAAAAAATATAATTTATATCACTCACATTACATTGTTTTCTAGATTAATAACACAATAATTAATAATTATATAATAATTACGTTTTGACACGAAACAATTTTTCAGAATTGTTATTCTGAAAAATCGTCCACGATTTGTTCAATTTTGTACGTCACTTCCATCCACTCCGCGCGATTTAAATTTCGCATTCAGTCCGAAATGATTGAGATAAAAACATGAGGGTAACATCGATGCAGTCGTGTGCGGCAATATCAGAGGAGCATTATTCGCCGTTAGATTAATATCCCGTCGGCGGCATCGTGCGCCGTCGTTTCGCCGTTGCCTTGTTCTGGTAGACTGCCAAAAGCGCGTAGTATTGTACGTCCCGGAACCGGAAACACCCACCCGTATAACCGTCGGGGCACACATCCGAATATCACCGAGGGGGAGAGCGCGCCCTTGGAATTGCGCAGCCTCGAGGGAGAGACTCGCGGGAAACCCCGAGCCGGAGAAGTGGGCCGCGCCCGTTGCAAAACTTCATTCGAATAAATTAATTAGCCCGGTGCTACAGGCAGGGAGCGGGAGAGGACGGGAGCGGCGCGACTGGGAGAGGGGGATGCGCGAGACACGGGACGTTTTGCGGAGTTGAAGGACGATTAAGTCGCAGAGAGACGACCCCCCCCCCCCCTTGTGGGGGTCGTGCATGCCGGATTCGTGGTTTGGCACTAACAAATAAGAGACTGTAAATCTCGAGGAATACGGCTAATACGTTGTTCCGCGACGCTGCTTAACGCCACCGCGCCGGTTCATACGGCGAAATTATACACAAATCTTGAATACAAATCTTCATTAATCTCCGTACATCGACGATAAGTATTTTAAGCGGGATATCCGATTTTACGGCATATCCGTCTTCGTTGCTTGTAATTTAGAGAAATAACGCATAATTGTGAAATAAGTATAATGATCGCGGGTTTTTGCCGACATAATTTACGCGGGCTCCATCTTAATGTGTCATTTAAACTTTAACTTAACAAGATAATTAATGTTCTCCCCGTTAACCGGCTTCAATTTTATTTAGCGGTGCCAAGTGAAATTACTTTATAAAGTTATCGTCGGACCGATATGTCACGAGTGTCACGGACGTCCTTTTACAGCTTTTTCCACTTTGAATTAAAACGAAGACATACGAAGTATAAAAAGATCGGTCGAATGATTACGTCTCATCAACGCGCCGCGCCGCAAGGTTTCATATCCTGAAACCCCAAGCAAGACGATGTGAAATGAGCTTTCCGAAAGCCGTAGATAATCCCGGCTAAAAGACTACAAAGTTCTCGAGACGGAGTACTCTTAACGTTTATCGTTAGATCACGAACTGCTCACCGTGTTCTAAAGAGACTGCCATTTGCACCGTGAAGGTGTAATCGTGCCTTCCGCAGTGTCTCCTCATAGGCTATCTCGAGAATCAAGTTCTTTAAAAAGTTTAATTTCCACATCAAGTGCAAGTAAAAATTGCAATTTTAGAGATGCTGTATTAATTATATGCAATAATCGGACTAATTATTAATAACATCGTTTCATCGGGTGTTCTTGCGACTTTTCGCTTGACAAACGGTAATTAATAGCGCCGAAATGGAAATACAACAGGATGTAGCATTTAATAATAATACAATGTAAAAGCAGCTCGAAAGGCAAAGCAAATAGATCCACGCGAAAAGACAAAAGCGGCCTATAAAACTGATTTTGCTCGCAATTAGAAGAAGCAAATTGCCGCTCCAAGATTACGAGTTCCGAGATGCCTTGTTCGCCGAGCCAGTTAAACTAGAGGGGGCCCATAAAACTTCCCTCGAATAAATTAATTAACCTGGAAGATCAGGAGCAAGTAAAGTGGAAGCTCGGAGGGCAATTAAGACGACGAGCGACGTATCGTTCTTGCTGTAATATTGGGCGCACCTTCGTGGGTAACAAAACGAGGATGTACGCGAATGGTTTTAGCGCGTCAACAAAAGATGTTACTAGACTCGCGGCAAACATCGTGGTAACATTATTCGGAGGCGCAAATAGCCCGACAATCGTGATTGCACGCTTTAAATTCTTTTATTTATACTCCGGACGGTAATATAATATTAACACTTAAGAAACACAGACTTTCTCTCCCCTAAAATTTGTCTTCTTGGTAGCTTAATAGTTAAATCATTTTCAGGAACTTCGTAACTCTTAATTTGAGATGTCGGAGATACCATAAGTTACCTTTATATCTCGCAGTCTAAATTAATCTCACGCTTTTGCGAGCTTGCGCGCTGTTTTCGCGCGATTTAACTTTCGCAGTTTACTGTTTATGGGAAGATGAAAACCTGTAGAACAAGCGGTAGAAAATCTGTGGTGAGTAGGAAGGGGCTGGGAACGGGCGGGAGCAGTATGCACGGAAGGATGCGACCCCTATGGCTGCGACGTGCCGGAAATGGTCGAAATCCGGGAATTGGGACAGCATTTCGTTAGGCCATCGAACGGACGTATTGAATTTTGACAAAGCTAAAACTCACATCGCACTTCACTTCTTCTTCGTCCCACTTGAACCGGCAGTTAATCTTCTTGTTGCACTCCAATTCCGCGGCGATGCACGTCGCATCCTCACAATCGTACTCGTCGTCCCTGCATGCTGCAAAAACAAAAAAAAACAGGGACGTTGCAGATATTATCGAACGAATAAAAAAATATCTGTGCGTATAGAAATATGTCCAAAAAAATTTCCAATATTCTCTTTGATTTATAGATTTACAGATTTTTTGCCCGATATTTAATTTTATCCGCATGCGCGCGTTAAACATTAGATTTTAATTATGGCTAAAATTAATCTTCGCTATAGTACGATAATCTCGCAGTGGTTTCCACCACGTGCATATAATACGTAACGTTAATATGCGTGAGATATGTAAAATTTCCTACTAAATTTATAGCGAGCTTAAATACTCTTCTGCCGAGACGTGCTACCGTGAAATAGCCGTGATAGTCGACTCTTAATTCGCATAGGAAAATTGTAGCCTAAGGTCTTATCCTTCGACGGCGGTGGTGTGTTGGAGTGTGTAGTCGCGAGCAAGATATTAGTTCCGCGTTGGCGGCAGGTGTGGAAAGCCGGAAATTCTTCTCGTGCCACACTAGGAACCGGTGTGAATTCCGCACACGTAACTGCGATTCTGCGGGCCACCTCATTTAACATTCAGACAAGTGCGCCGCTATTAATTTGAAATTTGATTCCTTTACCCAACGATTATCCCCCAACTCCTCGCTTGAGCGTAAGATGCTTATTGAATGGGGCATACATATAATTATAGGCTAAAACGCGAAAATGCAAGCCTTTGTCTTGTAATAATCCAATTTTCCTTGCCTCTTTAGAAATTCGTCGACTGGCGCATAAAGCACTTATTTTAAAAGCAAAAACTTATTTTAAAGGCGTAAGTGTTAAAATAAAAAAAAATCGAATTAAAATATATAAAACGTATTGATTTTAATTTGTACTTTTTAACTAAGCTATATTTTAGAAACTTTTTGCATTGTTTTAGAAATGGATAGCTGTAAATAATTGACAACAAGAAAAATGTAGCTGTGTTTAAAATATTTTTTAAGCGATTCTGTCACCTGCCGGGATTAACAGTATGGCTTGTTAATTCGAAATAAAAGTTGGCCGCATTGCTAACTGTGCAATTCGGGAGACAGTAAAATAAAAATCCATATAGAGTATGAGTTGGACACACACATGGGAAAAAAATTTTGTGAAACTGTAGCAGATATTTCTGGAGTGCCATGTAGAAAATTTCCACGTTGTTATCGCAACCACAACGATAGGTTGGTTGTACAGTTCGAACTGCCAAAAGCAAATTGACGTTATACTATCTCATTGTTAAAAACTGCCAGAATATTCTCGCATGATAGAACATGGTTCAAGAACAACGGACCTTAATTTCTAGATTATTTAAAAATTTTAGAGAATAAATTTTTTTCCTAGAGAAAATTTCATATTTTCTTTCAATAGTGATTCATTTTTTTTCTAATTTATGTCCCTTTTTTATATAAAAATACTTAAATATTTATTTTATTCTTGTAAATAACTATTAACTACTATTGAAACAGTAATTAATTAGTTGATAATTAATTTAGTTTATTATTACAGAATTATTTATGTATACAAATAACTTCCGACGAAATCAGGTAATTAGTAATTAGTCAAAAGGTATTATCTTTTAATAATGAATAATTATAAAGCATAAATGTAAATATTTCATTAATTTCATGAAACCCATAATGTGTGCATTACTCATAGTCAATATGCTATTTATTTTAGTATCATTTGATATTTAAATTTTGCCTGTCACGCACAAATCTTTCTTGTAAAATTGTATTATGCTAAATTAAATGACATGTAAAATCTCACATACATATGTATATAAATCCATCGAATAACACTGTTCGCGATAGTTACACATGTTATGATGACACGTAGTATGAATCGATTATTATGCTGCGTCATAATTTCGCGTTTCACACTGTATACTTTACGATTCATAATAAATTTTGAGTATAGCATTCTAATTATGTGCATGTTATGATGACGTTAACGCTGAGCTTTAATGGCTACAAGTCTATTTACGCTCTTGCTTTTAAGCTCGTCATTTCGAGAATGCATTTGGCTGGAAATATATATATATATATATATATATATATATATAATTGTATTTTTGCATAAACTCACATTTCTCGTTCCCCTTGTCCCTGACGGCGGTCATCACCGCCTCGAAGGTGCTGTTGATACCCTTCGGCTCCGCGTAGAACCTTAAATGGGCGATATTGCTCGCAACGACGACGGTGTCGGCGATACTGCCACAGAATTGCTTCACCCTAGAAGGTATGTCCTTTTCGTCCTTAATAAATATGTCTACAAAGTTGGCCTCGCACTCGTTCGGATGCTGCAGGCTGAAATTGTCTAGAACCAGCTGGATCTGAAAATTGCACGTGCGTTTTCATTTTCCTAAATGCACGCTCATTGCGTCGCCTCGGCTACCCCTGCAGATGGGCAGCCGCCGAGATCGAGTTTGAAAAATTCCCGCAACACAATTAAGCGACACGCTATAGTTTGCCATCGCGGCACAGAACTTTAGATTAAAACTGTAGAATCGCGCGCACGAGACAAATCGGTAAACAAACGGGAAAGGGAAAAGGGGCAGGAAAAGACGAGAAAATGCGAGAGGTAATTACCCGTGTAAAATTCCTTGAACGTAATAATAGAGCGGACAGCTCGATTGCGACGTTGCTGAAACTTCTTTGGGAATATCACGGCTTTTGTAAGAAATACGCGTGAGAACGTGTGACACCGTCGCCACCTTGGATTTTGTCGCGCGTATTGGAGAAGAATGGACTTTGTACATAGTTTGCAAGATATATTAGCTTCATTAACAATTTTAATAATAAAGTTTTGTGAACTAAAAGATTCTTCTGTGTTGAAGCAGATGCCGTTATCAGAGCCGCTATGTAAATTTTGTAACGGATGTATCGCAGACAAAGTATTTGCATAAAACCGCTCCGTTATTTCCGCGCCACGGCGGCAAAGAGCTATTGTAAATCATTCAGAAACGTGTTACTTTGAGCGAAACGCCGTTTGAAATCACGTTGCTGCAGGCCAATAACAAACATTCGTATCGATTGAACGCCCGTTCGTAAAGTGCGCTTGGATCAAATAAGGATCGTAACGTTATATGACGGTGGAGTAAGTATTGCGAGGAAACGCTTTATATATGCTTCAACTCGTCGATATTAAATTTTCGACAACGATATGATGTACCTCCAGTAATCCAGTGATATAGAAGAAGAAATGCTTTTACCTTCCAGCCCACCTTCACTTGAATGTTCCACAGGCAATCCAACGGGTATCCCTCTTTCCCGGCCTGGGCGCTCTTGTCTTTGACGTTGTCGCTATTAATTATCACCTGCATACCCGTCACGTTAAATATGCACGGTTCTGGTTCCGGTGGTACGCCCGCTGTGAATCACATCTATTACAGTTCTACTTTCCCTAGGCTCGCATGTCAACGCTCATCTATTTCGAATTTGTATTTTTGCCTATTATTTCACCACTATTATAATGTTCAACCTCCACAATAAAGATTTATTTAGTGTATTAATGAAATAAGCAAATACAAAATTTAAAAGCTTCTTAAGCAGAACAAAAAGTCACCATAGCATCAAAATGGAATTCAAAATAATTATTTAAAAGTTACTTTTCAATTAGTCACGATTTATTTTTTTAAATATCATTTTGACGTTAAATCAATCTGTTATTGACTTGTTGTATCTGTTTAGATTATTGCGTTTCATAAATTGTCACAATATGTAATGAAAATTATCTTATTAATTAATATATTAATTTTAAAACGTTAATATATAATTTTTAGAATAATTTATATTTTAGCACTTTGCAGTATTTTATCTTATATGCAGAACAATATATTCGTGTGCAGGATAAACAGCATAAAAAATCTATATTTATTTCACCATTTTGAGTCAATTTTTTGTCGACTTAAGATTTAAAAACAATTTCTCAATTATAAATAATAAATAAAATAAGTTACGTTATTTTACGCGCATAATGCGCTTTTACTACGCACCGCAAGTGATATAAACCGCGCGTATGCCCGACTAGCAGGGATTGGAAGTAACTCGTTACTTGTAACGCCGTTACCGTTACAGTTACTTTTTTTTTGGTAACTATAACGGTAACGTAGTTACATTTTTTAGGTAACGGTAACGAATTATACAGTTACTTTTATCGTTACTTTTGCATTTATGACAAAATTTTCGTATGTATACTCATCTTCAGTTTTAAGCTAGTATTCACATAGTTAACTCTTATTTTAAGACTGTTTTAACTAATATCTTAAAATATTAATATGGTTCTGTAATTGGTTTATGACATCTTAAAAATGCCATAAGTCAATCAATACCACAAATTAAATTGACAAGTAATTTAATAAAATATTTTTACTTTATATATACATCTTAAAATATTTTAAAAAATTTATTGTGAAAAATATCAGTTGAATTGCGTTTCAAGATTGAAAATTTAATTGGCACGTAGTTTGTAAAATTGGATATGTATATATAAATTTATATATAAATTTATATGTATATATAAATTTATTTCAAAATATTAAGCACGAAGGTGGAAGCTCTAGTTCATATCGAAAAGGCCTTCATTTTCCTAGTTGTATTTTTATATATCAGTCTAGTGTCATTATTGTATTGCTTTTATTAATATTAAAACAAAAAATTGCATCTTAAATTATTTAGATTGATCTTGTTTCAGCATTAAAAAAGTAAGCATTAAAAACGGAAAAGTAACGAATCGAATACTTTTTAAATAACGGTAACGAGTTATTTTTAAAAATCAGTAACTAATAACGGTAACTAGTTATTTTTTTAACTCGGTAACGAGTAACGATAACTAGTTACTTTTAAAAAGTAACTTTCCATTCCCTGCCGACTAGTTATGGTAGTCCCTTATTCACGTAAAATATAACTATAAATATTTCCGCATAGAAAAATTGTAACAACATGAAATTAAATGTATCAGTTCGGAGATGACAAAATTAATAAAAAATTAATCATTTTATGACGGATGTGAATAGATAGGGGAAGAGGAATAGATAATATAATTATAAGAATGAAAATTAAGGACTAAAATCAGTCAAATAAACTATTTAAAAATAATCATTAAACTGACATAAAAGCGTGGAAGACATTGTTGGTACATTATTTTGTATTCTTATAATTAGATCAATTCATTTAGCGCAAATGCGAAGAAAATCACACAATGTAATTAAAAAATACGTTCTTATATTTGAATCATTCGTCGCTTTCCCTTTTTTTAAAATAATTATTAACTTTTAGAAGTACAGAAAATGAAAAATGCTTAATAAAGTGCTTCAATATTTGATGTATTTGACGTATTTCAACAATTTTTTTCTTAATTAAAAATTGAATATATACTAATAAGAGCACACCTTAACTAAACAAACAGCTTTCACGGTACTAGATGTTTCAATATTGAAGTTTCAATTTCAACGGCGAATGAGTTAATTAATCACGCGGCGAGATAAAAATTTCAATGTTTAATCTCGCTGGTCGCATCCGTCTCTACTCTTCATTTTGTGCATCGATCTAAGGATCGCACGGTTAAAGCCAGAGGCACCGTGATCGCGCACTCCGGCTATTCATAGTCCTCCCTTCGTTCTGCTAACGGTTGACTATGAATTAATTTTGACCTCGGTTGCGGTTGCACGACGCTCGCTACCGTTGGACCATCTATTTCTCTCGTGTCTCGTAATTTTCCGAAGGACAAACGACGAAGATCCTCGATTATTTGTGATTGGAGTATATACAGCCCGGAATTACTAATCATGCTCGTCACGTTAGCTCCATTTTCTTTGAGTGTTTAGCACGTCACTTTATAGCACGGAGAGAAATTACACCCGCTCAGTACAGTTTAGTTAAATAAGAACTCCAGTTAATTAAGAACTTAATTAAAAACAATAGTACGTGTAATATTAGTACATATTAATAATAAGGTAGATTTTTTATGTCGTACTTTTTCTTTTTCGGTATCTACTATATATTAAATGTATATTGAGTTCAACTTTTATTTAGAAATCATTTTTTTCCTCATCTTTTCTAGATTCTCTCGTTAATCCTGAATAAGATGTAGTCCTCACGATGAATGGCCACTTGTGCTTTTGTATCGTGTCCAATTCAATCATTATATATCATTATAAATCAGATTAACAGACGACAAATTAGTTTCAATTATCATTGTGTCGGACTAATTATTTCAGCAACAAGTTCTCTCTGCCCGAGTACGTGAGAATCATGCGAACACAAGTGTGAAATACGGAAGAGCTAGAGCGAGATCTCGTGTTCGTTATCGATCGGTTTAACTAATCCATGGTTTACGCGCCGAAAGGATATATCTCACATCCGAGGAGAAGATTCAGCCGGCAGTAGATCAGAGTTAGAGGAAACCCACACAACCCCAAGACAAATTTCTGGCGCATGCCGAGAGAAGAAGGTAGGGTAAACTCGGTATATACGCCGCACCTATTAAAAACTTAATTTATCAGATATCATCTATTAAGTTTAAGTTAAATGAACTATGTCAGTAAAAACTTTATACTGTTTACTGTTATAAAACAATATTAGGAATCCAAAGTATTTACTTTTTATATTAAAAAAGAAATTTCTTTAAACCCTTTGCATTTTTGCCTTATAAAAATAAAGGTGGGTTATACGGCTACTCATGAGTGGGATAAATGACTCGAAAAATATACAAATAATGTAAATAATAATAGTGAATAACACATGAATTGACAATGTAATTTGAATTTACTCATTAATAAATAAATGAAGAACGTATTATTATACAGATTAAAAATAAGTACATACATAAGTATATACATACATGAATGTTATGATTAATGTATTGTAAAGGATGTATTATCACGTATTATTATTTACTTTTATATTTGTAAATAAATAATAGAGCGTCTGTGCTACGGCATAAATCCCACGCGCTAAAAACGCCGTATACCCCAAACAGATGGGATATACGAGATATTATTAATAAACTAAACAAAGAATACAAGAGCTAAACACTTGTATTTTGATATACTCTATCCTTTACTAATCCTCTACACTTATATACCACGAAATAACCACGAAGCCTTTTACATTTCCTACAATAATCATTTTATGTAGATAACTTATGATTGCGCTACTTACAGTGATAAATCGATTTAATTTACAATAATTTTATAAATATTAACAGTAAAAAACTGAAATCACAACACAATACTAATATAACATAAAGGCATGTAACAGAGTGGTTGCGAGAAAATAGTTTCACTTCTATTTTTTCTGACTTCTGCGGCGTAAATCCTCGCACGGCGTATATATCGGGTTTACCCTATCCATAAAATTTGAGACCAAAGCAAATTGTATGGATAATCGATTTTTCTTATTAAAATATGTTGATTTTTTTTCAAATGTAATGTAAACGTACCAGTGACATGTATCTATATCGGAATACACAAAAACTTAATTTTAAATGCTTTTTTTCATAATATTATAATTTAATTGTAATCTTTAAATATTTTTACAATTAAATTTTGATGTTATAATAAAAAAAGCATTTGAGATTAATAATTTTGTGTACGTGTTCAGATATAGATATCATGTTCAGTTACTGATATGTTTATTTTATAGATAAGCACAAAATAGATGCATTTACTAAAATAAAATGTTTTTTTTTCAATGCCGCGACTTTATTACCTGTTTGCTTGCTCATGTTTCATTCGGAGATTTAGAAATTATCAGTTCAACATTTTAATCAAAATTAAATTTAGAAAGAAAATTAGAAAATTAAGAGAGAAAAATCCGAAGATTTTATGACTGAGACTTACGGTAGGTCGGTCTTGGTATCGTGCTCCACACAGCCTTGAATCCCTTATCCTCGATATTCTCATCGCTGTGGAATCGCAGCCAGAGGTATCGCGTCTTCGACGTGATCTCAGGGGGAAAATTCGTGCCGCAGAAGTTGCCGAGGAGATTAGAGTAGCCGTGCTGACCGTCACGTACCTCGAGGAAATCGAAACGGCAATCCGGACTGTCTTCGAGCTTGAACTTGTCCCGAAAGTCGAGCTTCACTAGCATACCTTTGTCAGCTGAAATGAGAAAAGCCAGACGGCGGGCCGATAGTGAGTACACTATAAAGAGAGATGTAAAGCGAGAGGAGAAAAAGACAAGCTTGATGGCCGTGCCTATGGAATTTCTAATGTTAGAACGTGATAAAAGCGTCGAACATTTAGACTAAATGTAAATTTTATGCGTTTATCGGCACAACATTGTTTAGTGGAACGCGCTTTTTTTATACAAATTTAATTTATACTACATGGGCTGGAAAGTTTCTGGAATTGGATACAAAATGGCATCATATGCAAAAATTTATTTTACGGCTGTCGAATATATTCCTTCACACCTCCAATGTCAAAATTTCATGACATTTCACCAAATAGTTTATGAGTTACAGTCATTTGAACAAGTCAACGTTTGAATTTAAAAAAAAATGGAAAAAACCAAAATTCGTGCAGTGATCAAATATCAATATTTGAAAGGCTTAAAATCTCAAGAAATTGAAGTTATTGATGATTTCTTGAGGTTTTAAGTCTTTAAGTCACGAATTTCGGTTTTTTTTCCATTTTTTTAAAAAACTCAAACGTTGACTTGTTCAAACTACTGTAACTCACAAACTATTCGATGAAATGTCATGAAATTTTGACAGCGGAGGTTTGAAGGAATATATTCGACAGCCATAAGATTAATTTTTGTATATGGTGACATTTTGTATCCAATTCCGGAAACTTTTCAGCCCATGTAGTATTTGTCTTATTCATATATAATTAAATCTCGTACTGATAAAAAATCGCCATTTTCAGTAATTAACAATTAATTTCTAAGATTAATAATGACATTTTTAATAAAATTTTTCTTTTTTAATCTGCTTATAATAGAAGTATCATATAAGCAGATTGAAGGGAATAAATCTTTTTGTCATCATTAATCTCAATAATTAGTCTTAATTATTAATAGTTAGATAATAAATTAAGGACAAAATAATAAAGTTTAGATTGACAAAAAAATAGTTTTAATTTTTTATGGATAAATACTAACAAAATTGTATGAATATAGATGTGCTACCTAAAGTAACGCATTCTTTAACTTTAAAATATGCGCACACGATGATGTTCAAAATTGTGCAGCAAAAACTTTCAAGCGAATTCACTTTGTTGACTGATTTAAAATGATAATGATTATCATGATGAATATTTACTTTATCTACGATTACGGTTAACCAATAACGTGATTAATTATATAGATGCGTATATTTTGCAATTCAATGAGCCAATAATTATGCGAGTAATCTGATATCTGAAACATATGCTCGAGTATCACATCCTACGTGATTTATAATATAATTATGCGTTAACGATTAGCGGCATATAACATTTCGATTATACCGGTTCTTATTCTGCATTAGCTCTTCTTCGAAAGTATATAAATAGAATAGTGACACGTGGAATGTATTTTTATCTCTGCTGCTGTAAACTCTTCACAGTACGAACGTTTTTTATGGTCAGATGGATTACTCAACAAATATTCCAATGTCGTTAGTCCCGGAAGTCGGTCACAGGCTCAAAGTCGGGCACAGTGCCAAATTGTTCGTCAGGAACTGTGACACGAAGCCACATTGTTTTCTTGTTGGTCACCACGTTAGCGGCGTTAACGCTGCCGTGGCAGCGCTTACAAAGCATTTTTTCTCATGTAATATAATACTTGTGTCAGAAAGAAGGCCAGTAATACAGTTTCTGGAGCAGTGATAAATAAAACAGAGTTTTTTTTAGAGAGGAAGAAATCAAATAATCTATCGCGTTAAGCAAAAGTAGTATATCGCTGATTTTTTAAAATTAATTTGTTAAATTTATATGCACTTTTTCATCAAATTTATCAAACGAAAAAATAACATTACCTATTATCGCAAGCGTGTGCGCTGCGGCAAGAAAGACTTTTTGCCAAGACTAGTTCCCAGAAAGTCGCGGGGGCGAAACGTGTCGCCGTTACTTCCAGTAAATTCCTACCTACGCGATGCGATCTATAATGAGGCCGTAGGGATGCAAATGCGGCTTCACTTTCCCTGCACGTACGAAACTTATCCGAGAATTATTCAGGCGAGACCGATCGTTAGGATACGGTCTATCTTCCGGCTCTAGTTAGATATCCCCCGGTTTCCCGTGGCACATATCCGTGTGTTTGTCAGCACAATCGTGTGTGCACGTGTGTGTTGGTATATGGACCACCAGTTCATTTGACTATGCGCATTTAGACATCACCCTGGGCAACCACAGAATCATCCTATTATCCAAGTAACATGCCCTTATACATGTCTACACGTTATCGATCGTCCATGATTTCTGAACGTTTTTGCGTTCACGTGTCTATGCATATAGAGATAGCAAATTTTTTCTTACAACCTTTATGTAATAAGTTAATTTAATATTCAAAGACTTCAATTCTGCTTATACCTCCAATTATTAATATTCTTATTCTGACAAATATTTTACGAGGAAAATCTTGCGCAATCCAACATTCTTTGAATTACAAAGAATGCTGGTCTAATTTATTTGCGTTGTAGATTACGTACCAATATGTGATCAAGAAAACATTGACTCTCAACCGCGTATAGCGATTGCCGATATATTTATCCTTGGGTATAAATATAGTTCTCAATGCGTTCCCAAAAATAGTCCGTTTATCTTAGACGTGGAGATCGCGACAAGAACAGCGCACGCAAGTACAGAGATCTTTTGGATTTAGGTAAAATAAGTAACAATATATTGAATAAAGATACTCAATGGATTAAAATCCAAATAGCACGAGATAAAAGATTATTAAGCAAACTAAATTTTAATATTGATATAATGATGAGATTATACCACATAAACGATTGTGACAATAAAGACTATATTACGTAAAAGATTATAACAACCGTTTTGATTTTCATCTTCAGTGTCAAATTAGTGAAAAATATGATGTAATTATACGATTTTAATTATAAAGTTCGCTGTTATAATGTTGCTCGCAAGTAGGATATTACAGAAACCTAAAATAAGTAATTAACTAGTAATTTTTAATAACTCAAGAATCTCATGACTCATATTGCTCAAAAATTCCTTCTAGAAATTAATTTATGCAAGTAAATTTTGTTTTTGGCAAGCAACTTTTACTAGAATTACAAATATTTAAAGAATTCCCAGAAAAAATATTGCAATGCCAAATTCATCAGATGCGTCATCAGTGGCAGAATAAATATACCTTTACGATTTACGTGATTAAATAATTGTTAGTTTAAAATATGTCTATTTCATGAGAACTTTTTCATTTTTAAGAAAAATATTTTTGTAAAATTAGTTATAATAAGTATATAGATAAGGAGAAAAAAAATAATAAAATGTTAAAATTGTATATTTTAACAAATAAAAGTTTTTTATTTATTTCTTAAAAATGAGCTTAGATAAAGCTTAGAAAATTTTAGAATATTAGAATGATCGTTAATGCAGATTTCGTCTTATAACTGTTTTTTTTCATTGTACCATTGAAGAGCGCGTGATCGCAGCACCGAACTTTTCCTATGAATGAAAATTTGGCCACCTCCTCCGAAAAGCCCACGCGTCGTATGACCGTTCCAAGAAGCGCGATAGTAATAATAATTCCACTTTCTCGTGTAAAACTCGATTTTGAGGAGAAAAATCGCCACGTTGAGATCGTGCTGGAAATATAGCGTCGATTACGGATGCCACAAAAATCGCCGCACGTCTTTGCAACCGGATGTTCTCGCTTACGCGCGCTGCATTCGAATGATGACTCGATAGGGTCCTTCGCCTGGACTTCCTTTGGCAAGGACGTGCACTCGAAACTAGTAAGAACGAAGAGAAAAACGGAGATGGACGGCGAGCGCCAGAGACGGCGAGCGCCAGACAAAAAGTCTCGATGAACTTTCTTCAGAGGACTTGTCCACTTTTGCAAGAAAATGTACCTTGACTGTAATAATATTTATTTATCACAAAGAAACGATGGAATTACTGATAGAATTATGCTTTTGTGCAGTAGCGTAGTATGTATATTACGAAGACTGAATAATATATAGCGTACATTTACCTTTTAATGTTAATTTAAAAACTTTTAACAATGCGGTCTACATTAAATTTTATTTTTATATTTACAGCCTATTAGATATAAATAAAATTTTCCAGTCTTTTTCAGCAACGTAGAGTGTTCCAAAGTATCACAACGTACTTCAAATTTTTCACAATTTCTTTCTAGTATTTGATTAGACGATAATTTTTCGAGAAACAAGCATCAAGACTTTCTTGTCCTTATAAATTTATTTCTCCTTCGTTTTTGCTAGAAAGTATAGTGGAAACAACTAAGCGATCGAAACACCGACGATAAATGAAGTATCGACCATTCGAAGATACGCGGCGAGAAACGTTTTACAATACGGTGCTCGGTGGGAGCTCATCTCTTACGGTATAGCGACGTCTTCGTCGTCAGACTGGGACATCGTTACGTCGACGTATAAGCCGTAACCCGCTGAATTTCATTTCGCTTGATAATATCTGGTCCGAGCTCCCGCTCCTCGTCGACGCGGCGCGGCGCGGCGCAGCGCGAAGTCTCATATCGCGAAGTCACCGCTCTAGTGACTCGAGCGTTTCCGCGGAAAACGGAACAATTTCTGTCACGGAGGAAGCCCCTCGGTCCCGCCGCTGAAATCCTGACGGCACAGCCGCAACACACATACCCGCTTCACGGTACCGCGATCGGGCGCTGTAGCGCCGAGTACAATTTGTGTGTGAGAGTGCGTATCTTTGTGCTCACGTAAGATCTCCCAGCCGCAGTTCGTCTCTATCTCCGAAATTGTTCCACTTTACCGCAAGGCTGTATGGGCTTCTCTTGATAATGAGCGGCATTTCTGTCTCTCTCTCTTTCCCTTTTTGGCGATGCCGTCGAATTTTCCCGTGGCGTCTTACTTAATGGGCAAACCTCCGCGGAACGCCGAAGGACTCGCAATGCGCACCGCAATTAATGCCAAGAAAATTGGATAGCGATC